ATATGTGAATCTTTCTTATTTTCACTCCTTATAATTCTAGACTAACCTGTCAAATTTCTAGCTACCTTCTTAATATTTCACTCATTAATGATCTTCTTCCATTTTCTATAGTAAAGCCTAAATTTGCAGCCTATTTTGCTTTTTTGGGTTTCAGACGTGATCTTTTGTTGTCCTAGGGCAAGTGTCTCCTTGCCATATGCCTGGCACATTGCTGCCAGGCTGCCTTTCTGTTCAACCATCTTCCTCTTTGGACACACACCGGAGACTAACCATTGTCCATAGGGCATGGCTAACAATCCTCTCAGAGAATCCTCTGGCTTCTGTAGACCCATCTGCCTCACCTATGGATTCACTTAGGTCACTCTCCAGTTCTACCTAATATTTGCATTTTCTTGAAATTTCCTAGTTTCTTCATAACTTCATGCCCAGGTCTGGAATGGCCTCCCCAAGTGTGGTCTGTCAGAGAAACAATTGCTCATCTTCAAACACTTAGCTTTAGGTTAAGCCATTTCTCTCTCTCTCTCTCTCTCTCTCTCTGATTGAACTCAGGGCTAGATAAGCACTCTACCTCTGAGCTATATCATCAGCCGTATTTATTTATTTATTTATTTATTTATTTAAAATTTGGAACAAAGTGTCACTAAGTTGCCTAGGCTGGATTAAAGCTTACAGTCTCCTGCCTCAGTCTCTCAAATTACTGGAATTATAGTCACCATACCCCCTTATGAGCCACCTCTTTCATAAAGCTGTTCTTTTCCTTCCATTCCTTGAGAGTTCATCTCTTTCTCTTTTGTGCCTTCACAATATCTTGAATCTAATTATGGAATTTTCTTATGAAACTTGTGCCCTTTTATTAACTTATGTCTTTGTAATCTCAGCTTCTTTGCTTCCAAGCATCTCCATGTCATTGTCCAAGTAGTATATTAGGTGGGGTCAATGTTAGTTTTATGAATGAATAAATTATCATGTTAAAAGAATGACAAAATAGTATGACTACACTCAATAACTTAAAGATGATGCATTTAGGAAATGATTATTAACAAAAACTTTAATTTTAAATGCAACTATTCAACATTCAATAGTCACTGTTTGGGGGGTTTTTTGGTTCTTTGGGGGGGGGGGACAAGGTCTCACTTTGTAGTTCAGGCTGGCCCTGAACTCACTATGTAGCCCAGAACTCCTGCCAATCCTCCTGCTAGTCTTATACGTGCTAGGATTACAGGCATGTGCCACCACACCCCGCAGTAGTCTTGTTAAGTAGTTATTTAATGCCAGTCATGATAATGAATACTGGCTACGTTTAAAACACAGCTCATGATTTTGATGCGCTCAGATTATACAGGGATAAAGCAGCATGTAGGATCGACTGACCTCTCATAGTAGCAGGGCTTGTACTACGAATGAAGACTTCATAATAGGTAAGATTATAGAATTCAAACTAATGAAGGTGAGAATGTAATCATATTAATTTGTTATTCAAAATGTACTTATGATATTGAAAGAGGACACTACTAATAAAGTAGGTTAACAAATATAAAAACAAGTCTGTGCATTTGGTAAAGTGGGAAGTAGGTTTATTCTAGTGAGGAATGAGGGATGATAAAGGGTTTCAAGAAGAGAAAGGTGCAACCCAATTTGTTTTGCTTAAACTGTCTTCTAGCTCTGCTTCCCCAATAATAAGACCTAACTAGAAAATAGCCTTGAAAACTAGAGATCACAAACGCCAGCCTCCATCCGCCTATCCTCGCGGACCTACCTTCACTGTTCTCGCGCTCTCTGGCTCCTCCCTGAGGCAGGTAAGGGAAGGACAGGAGGATGGGGGCTGGCAGTTTTGATCTCTAGCTTTCAAGGCTGATTATTTTCCAGTTAGGTCTTATTTTGGGGGAAATACAGGGTTATCCTGTAAATGTTTGGAGGGAAAGAAAGCCAGATTCAGCTAAAACAGTTAGAACATTAAATGATCTTTTTTTTTTTTTTTGTATCGGGGATCAAACTCGGGTCCTCGCACTTGTGCAGCAGGCTGCAATACCACTGAGCTAAATCCCCGGCCCCAAATAATCTTAAAAGAAACTATGAAAGCTAAAGAAAAACCATGGGCAATGGTGATATTAAGAGGAAAATAGTAAAGAAAAAAATGTTTGAAAACTATTGGAAATGCAAAGAAAAAATCTGAATATGAGAATTGAGAGCAAGGAAAATGTCAAAATGGCTTACTGATTTTTGTGTTAGAAATATATGAGGATGTGGGTTCCTCTTTTCCTACAGTCCCACCAGCATTTGTTATTGGCTGATTTCTTGATAGCAACCATTCTTTTCGGGGTGAAGTGAAATCTCAGCATTGTTTTCATTTGCATCTGTCGAATGACCAGTGATGTTGAACATTTTTTCATATGTTAATTTGCTATTTCTACTTTGTCTGAGAAATGTCTGTTCATTTCAGATGCCCATTTTCAGATTGGGTGTTTAAATTTGGGGGGGGGGTCTGATTTTTAAAAGTTCTTTATATATTCTAGAAAATAATTCTTTGTCTTAGGAACAGCTGGTAAAAAAATTTTTTTCCCACATTGTGCATTGTCTCTTCACTCTGTTGATGGTTTCTCTTGCTGTGCAGAAGCTTTTTAATAAGATGAGATCCCAATTGTTGATTCTTTGTGCTAGTTCATGTGTGACTGAGGTTTTGTTCATAAAGTCTTTTCCTATGCCTATGTCTTCCAGAGTTCTACCTAACATATCTTCTAGCGGTGTAGACTGGTGCACTCACTGAGGAAATCAGTGTGGGAATTCCTCAAAAAACTAAGGTTAGAAGTCTCATTTGACCCAGCTATTACTCTTCTGGGTATCTTCCCAAAGGAATTAAAAGCATCATACCACAGTGATATATGCACAGCCATCTTATAACAAGCAGCACAGTATGTAATAGCTAAAACTTAGAAACAGCCCAATTTCCCATCAACTGGAGAGTGGATACAGATGTGGTTTTATTATAAAATGGAGTACTACTCAGTCAGAAAGAATGATAAACTAAAGACATTTATAGCTAAATATCTTCATATTGAGGTCATACTCTTAAGTGAAATAAATAGGACACAAGTGTATAAATACTGAATTGTCTCTCTGGTGTGAGAAATTGAAAAATTTAAATGAGGGCCAAAATGTATAATAGATAATGTGAAAAAGGAAGCAAAGGTTCAAAGGGGAAGGGAAGGGGGGAGGGTGGAAGGAAAGAAAGGAAAGAAAAGAATTTGAGAAAAGAACTAAAAAACAAAAACAAAACTTTTGTAAATGGGGAGAGGGAGTGGAGGAGTGGAAGGGAGGGAAGGGGAATGGGAAAAAACAAAAACTAAGATATATCATGTACCAGTACAAATTTCCAAAGATGAATGTGATCACAATGTATACCTAAAATGCACCAATAAAGTTAATTTTTAAAAAAGAAGTATATGAGGATAAGAGTCTCCAATAGAAGATGGCTCAAAAACATATTTGGTACTACTTCCAACTTAATAAACTTTATTTGAGGTAAAAAATAAATGAATGAGAAATTTATTTTACTAATGGAAATAAACTAATTTGAATAAAATATGCTATTTATAATATTTATGAAAATATGACTATCTATTGAATTTGAAAATCTTTAACAATCTTAAAAATAGATTTCTTCTTCATTATTTCCCCCTGAGAACTTTTCCTGATCTCTCAAATTGACCTCCATATTAACAATCACTCTATATGTGCACACTCTTCCAGTACAGGGAGCAAAAGCTATCACTTTTTCTACCCAGTGTTTCATCCAATTCCCAGGAAGCATTAGGCACTAACTCAATATTTGTTAAACCCAAGTAGAAACAAGATATACACTATTGTTTCAGGAAAAAAGTATCTCAAAATTCTGTCAAAATGCTGGCATTTGTTTTGTGCCTGTTATGTGCAATGTTTCAGTGTGGTATTGAAAAAGGGACTCTGCTTGTAATCCAATAGCAGAGGATCTGTATATTTCTCATATTCTCTAAACACAAGAAATACACTGTGGAAAAAAATTACATTTTTAGTGCATTTTTAATTATACAAAATAACTAATGGATTTTGTGTTGGCATATTCACGCGTGCATGCAAAGTACTCTGAACTCCTTGATCGGTTGTGTCACAGAGATGTGATGTGTGAGTGACATTGCATTGGGTCCATGTGTGAAAGGGAGCAATCATAAGTCTTCCTGTCTGAATGCAGAGAGCATGAAGGTTCTGATCTTGCTTTTTAACAACCTACTATGGTGAGATCTAACTGACTCATCAGGACCATACTACTTTCCCTTCTTTCCTTCTCCTACCCCTCCCAGAAGGGAGAGGAAAATAATATGAGAAAAGAGAAAAAATGGAAACAAAGTCTTTGTAAAGAGGGAGGGGTGGAGGGGGTGAAGGGAGGGCAGGGAAATGGGGAAAAAATAAGAAGCAAGATATAAAGGTAAAGGTACAAGTTCCCAGTGACGAAAGTACCTGTATTGTATACCTAAAATGTACCAATAAACTTAATGAAAAAAAAATTTTTTAAAGACCAATACTACTGATTTCTTTTGAAAGCATCCATTCAAAGACTAATTATAACTCACTAGGTCTTACCTCTTCAAGATTTTAGTACCTTCAGTCATTGCCACACTGGAGACTAAGCTTTCAAAACACGAACCTTTGGGAAATAAAGCACAGAAACTAGGATAGAGGGTCTCCCATCCCATTCCTTACAGAGAATTCAATTAGAGGTAATGTATTTGGAGCTTCTCTGGGTACCAAAGTTGCAATGGAGGTTACAGACTCTAGACTTGGAAAGAGAGTAATAGTGTATTGAAAAGTGCATTGAGGTGGAAGGATAAATCAGGGCTATATTCTAGAGAAAAGGATCCTGAGAGGGCAAGAGAGGACAGTAGGGGTCAACAGGGAAGGGAGTTCAGAAGAAGGACATACACATAGAAAACAAGTTGATCCTGAGTGGACATTTGGGTTTCAGTATGATCATTCTTCTAAATACAGGAAATACATCATAAAATGTTTATAATTTTATTTTTAATAACATAATCTAATCAGATCTGGTTTCTATGAGAAGAAACATTTAAAGGTAAGGAAAATATCTATCATATCAGAGTTCTTTTTTCCCATATGATGTTAAATGTTTCAACTGGTTTTCTCCTCCATATCAGTGGTTCTCAGTGGGCCTGCAGTAGTGATGTGAGAATTTCCACGTCTGACTCCTTCCCCAGCTGATGCTGATGCTGCCATCCCAAGAACCAGAACTGAAGAGCTACTGCACCGAGGAACTCAAATGTCCAGGTGGTAGGGATCAAATAAATACAGACAAGTTCAAGTCAGTTACTATCTCAATACATTAACTTTTATTTACTTTAGCATTTTTTAAATTTTATAAAACTCAATTTTGTTTACATTAATTCTATAAATACGTAAGTTATAAATATATGGTCATTCCACCACCCAAGTGAAAGTAAAGATTGCTAACATCAATAAAAAGTATTTATTGATACCCTATTATGGCCCAGACTGTGCAGTAAATGCCTTAGATTAAGCAACCTGACTCTATTCTCTGAATTGTGTTGGATATTCATAATGCTATTCACCTTATGGATGAGGAAATAGAATCCCAAAGGTCATAGATTGGAGCTAAGCATGCAGGCTATGCTGATCCAGAATCTTGTTCTCCTCCACATGCTCTTCTCTTCTCTTCTCTTCTGCCTTGCACAAGGAAGCAGACACTATATTCACAGAGGGATTGTGAGAGCTGATGCTCCTCTTTTTCTAGCACTGATGGAGCTGGCTTTGAAATATCAGGTCCTTTGGCAGCATCACTGTGTAACACCGTGTTGTTAATCCAGTAAAAAGAACACTGAGCTGCTGTACATATTTACATATTTAAATGGCAGTGGGAATTGTGTATTTCACTTTTACAGCCTACAATTTTGTCCCTAGACAATAATAGAGCCTTGTGTAAAACCCTATTGATGGGTTCTGTGCCAGTGATTCCCAAGCCAGTTAGAAGGTGTTTCTCAGGAATGTATGATCGTTCTGTAAACTTCAGTTTGAGGTGAGGAGAGGTTGGAGGTTGAAATCAGTCAAAAACCAAAAGTCACATGAATTAGGAAATAAATAATATTTAGCCTTTTCCAAATGATTTTAACTGGGTATCTTTAAATATGTAGCATCAAACTGTTAACAAAAGAGATGAACATGCACCTCCAAATGGGCAGTGAAGAGCTAAAACTGGAATTTAAATAAGCCAATTTCCTTGACATTATTTACAAGATGAGCAGAAGAGAACAAGCATTGAAAAGTGAGGTAGAGCAAACAATTTCCATCATATGCATATTGCTTTAAGATGCACTTGAGAAAATAAGGACCAAGGTGGTTGCAGGTAAGTAGAAGTGTACGAACTTAATAAGTCTAATTCTGGTTATTGAAGGAAAATGTACTTACCTCTACTGTTAGGGACAATCTTCCCACATTTCTTGGTCTTTCATGAAGAGGCATTTTCCCTGAAATCTTTCCCTACTCTTTGCTCAGGGGATATGGGTAGTTTAAAAAAATAGGTAAAATTGAGAACACTCAGTTAAACTAGGCTCAATTTGGGAGCTACTTGGGAAAAAGCTGTCTTTCTTGTATTTCTTTTTGACATAAGTGCCCACCACATTTTACAGTAACTTCCTCATGATTTCCCAAACCCCCTCCCTGGGGTGTCTGCAGTACTTTCTAGGAGAGGAGCTACTAGCCCAGGACAGGATCACCATGGCCCACTCCTCACCTTTCTCTCTTTGGATGTTGTTTTCTGGCCATTTTCTTCACAACCTGTGGACATTTCCAGATGGCTAGAAAAACTCTGGAGCTCATATGTCTAGAATTGTTCTAGGAGTCCAGGGTCAGGTCAGATCCAGAAGGACAACCTGGCCAGTGGGTCACTTCCTCCCAAGTAGAGAAGATGAGGCAGTCAGAGCTGGGCTGTCATGCCTGTTAGAGTGGCCCACTCATGCAGAACACAGGACTGGGTCAGTGCTCTGGGCTAGTTTTTGACTCACATCAACCCTGGGGCTTGAGCAGTGGCTCTGGGCTCTTGCACGTGGTCTTGTCTTCCATGTTTCCCTCATGGAGCCACTTCAGGTCTACAGCTCCACCAGAGAAAGGGTGAGAAAAGGCATCTTTTACCTGATGTGCACCTTCCTGCTCATCACACAAACTTCAGTGTGAGGCTCATGTGTGTCTCTTCTGAGTGCTTTCAAAATCATCGCCACCTGTTGATAGCAGGACCTTCTGTTTGATGTCTTCTCTTTAGTGTGGTAAAGCTGTTGTTCATGAGTTGGTCTGTAGTCATGCTGGAAGTGGGAATGGACATTTTCACATAAATATCACCTCTATTCTTGCTTTGTCCACACCCTGTTTTTACTCTCTATGCTGGTAATTATCCATGAGAGGCAGTAAAGGCCACTCTGGAAATTCAGGGATAATGGTTTAAAGGGTTCAAAACAAGATATGTCTAGAAAAATGTATCATTCTAGTTTTCAGTATAAAACTCTAAAGAATAAATGTAACATGAGGAACAAAAACAATTGTTTCTCAGTTTCCTGAATACTCTAAGACTTGTACACTTACTTGGTCCTCATGACCAAGGTGTAAGAATACTCTATAAGAGTCACTGAAAGCCAGTGTTCACATGCATTGTGGTACATGCTGCCACATCCTGTGTAATTATGTAAACAGCATTAAATAAATGACATTAGAGGACTGTGGAAGCAAGGAGATGCATTTCGTTACAATACAAACAGAATCTGAAGAGCCGTGGCCTTGTGAATAGTTAGAAGTGTTGCTACCTTTTCTTCAGGTAAGAATTTTGAATTGGCCAAGATGATGCATTTGACAACAAACAACCTGTAGACATACTTCCTGTGCCTGAACAGGAAGAACAAATCCTGCATGCTATCAAGAATCTTCATATATATTACTTGAACAGTAAAATATCTCTTTTCTAATTTAAATCTCTACCAATAAATCATTATACCCCACATGGACCTACAGATTGCATAGCATATATGCATGGAGAGGAACCCAGCACTACCTAGACATGGCCCTGTCCTGCCTCTTCTCTGTGGGCCCCATTTCAGCTTGGTGCTGCAGAGGACCAAGTGAGTAAATTAGTTAAATTCTTTAATTCAGATATCAGGCTGTCTTGGTTACTTTTCTCATTGCTAGGGCAAAATACCCAACACCCACAGGTTTAAAGGAAGAAAGATTTATTTTAGCTTATAATTTGTAGAGGTTTCAGTCCTTAGTGGGCTGGTTCTAAGGCAGGGTGGCATGGAAGAGGGGCATTGCAAAGGAGAAACAGTTCATGGCATGGCAGGGAGAAGGCAACAGAAGTAAGTAGCAAGCACCAAGCAGCAGGCCTGAATTCCCTCTCTCACTTTATATTCCATGTAGACTATAGGCCTATTGATTGGTGCCACCCACATCCAGGGTGGCATGTCCATTATCCACACCCAGAACTGTGAAAAACCAATTAGTGGCCTAATCCACACACCCTGAATCCCAGTATCACACCATTAATCCACATTCACACACCCTAGATCCAGCCACCTCCAAAAAGCCCCACCTATGAGTACATTAGGCTTTGGGGCATATCTAGATACAAGCCATAACATAGCCTTATTTGTCTCTTAAATTAAGCTTTATTTTCTAACTTAGGTTTCACTATTAATATAGATATTTCAATTTCCCCTCTGCTGTCTTCTCTTTTGCCTTATTCTCAGTTGCTTCTGAATCTGGCTAAAGAAATGCACTGCTCTACGTTGGGCTTGTCTTTAGATGTGAGGATAATAAAAAGGAACAGTTGAAGATCAAAGGCATAAGGAACATTCCAATCAACTGGGTGTTTCATATATCTTCTCAAACACTCTTCACTTCATTCTGTTATTCTTACATGGAAGATTTGTTCTCTTATGTAGCAGAGAGGAATACATTCTACCTTGAGACTTTTTATTGCAAAACTAATGAATGTTGAGATCAAGTAATGTGCGGTACCTTCCAAACACAGTCACTGTATATGCAAAGTCCAAGAGACAGGTATTTGTATTTTTTCACTAAAACTGTTCTAACAAAATACTGTAAACTGGGGAGTTTAAAACAACAGAAATTTATTTTCTCACAGTTTTGGAAGCAAGAATTCTGAAATTAAAGTATTGGCAGAGCCATGCTCCTTCTGAAATGTCCATTGAAGGATCTGTACTTGCCTCCTTCTATAGCTTTTGGTGGTCACCAGTCATGTTTGGTAGTCCTTGGCTTTTAGCTGCCTCATTATAATTCTGCCTCTGTCTTTATAAGGCTGTCTCTCCTCTGTATGACATGGTCTGTGTCTCTTCCTCAAATCTGTTTTTTTTGTTTCCTTCTAAAGTCTCTGGTATCCACTAAAATATAACTTCATCTCAGCTTCATAATATAGAAAAAATCCTATTTGCACATAAGGTCACATTCTGAAGTTCCATGAATTTTGAAAAGACATTATTGAACTAAGTATGATAGTAGTAGTAGTAGCAGTAGTAGCAGCAACAGCACCAGCAGCAGCAGCATCCTTTTATGTTGAGGAAACCGAGGCTCAGAAACACAAAGAAGTGCAGGGGCTTGCTCAAATTCATCCAGCTGATACATCCAATTTAGTGTTGTATTTTTTGTACTGGTGTATTTCATATTTATTTGAATTATAAGTATGGAAAGAGTATACATATCATAAATGTATTGCTTGATATAGTTCCATAATACTCATGATCCTAACTCTTCTTGTCTTCTTTTAGTAATCACCCTTAAGGGTGACTACTTTCCTCACATTCAAGAATAGAGATTATTTTACTATTATTATTAATTTATTATGTAACTTTAATCTCACATGTTTTGGGGAGATATTGTATTAGTTTTCTATTATTGATGTGACAAATTACCACAAATTTAGTGACATAAAATAACAAATTTATTATGTTTGAACTTCTGTAGGTTAGAAGTCTAATGGGGTGCAATTAAAGAGTTGGGTGGACTGTGTTCCTTTATGAAGGCTCTGATGAGAATTTGTGTTCTGTCCTTTCCAAGCTTCTAGGGGCCATCCATAGTCCTTGGGTTGTGCCACTCTTTCTACAACTTCAAATTTAACAGCGTTGCAGCAGTTTCATCACTGTTCCATAGAGTCACATCTCCTTCTAACTACAGACAGAAAAAACTCTACACTGATAGTCACACAACTACCTTGGGTCCATCCAGGTAATACAGGAAAATCTCCTCATCTTGAGATCTTTAACTTTAATCATACCTGTAAAATCCCTTTTGCTACATAAGATAATGAATTTTCAGATCACAAGGCCTTGAATATAGACATCTTTAGGAGTTCACTATCTAGGGTAGGATTGCTGGACATAGGACATACATATATTCAGGTTTAATAAATGCTACTCATTTTTCCAAACTAGTTCCATAAAAGTGCACTTATAATCAAGTGTATAAAAATTGTCAATACTTTTAAACTTTAGCTAGTCTGAAAAACAATTTTATAATATGTACCTGAGTTTTGTAATTCCAATTTTTTTGGTGGGAGGGGGAAGCTTTTCAAAATGCTAAGAACTGTGAAGGGTGTGAGATTTTTATCTTACTTTTAAGCTGACTAGTCTGCCACAGTTTCATGGAGTCTAGCAAAAGACACGAGATGCCCAGGTGTGAAATAGAAGACAGTTTACTACAAGTAGCAACAGCACTGGCGAGAGTGTCTGCATTGGCTCCAGGCCCTGTGTCTCAGTTCAACAGCAAAACACAAAGAGGGCAATATGTCACTTTTACATCCAGCAGGTTACATTCTAATAATAAGTTTAAAAAACTAAATCTTTTATAATGGAGAAAATGCATGCTGGCCCTTTGCCCTATATTAAGACATGAAGGCTATCTTTCAATGCTGTAATTAAATTTTCTGTGGAGATGGCTCTAGAGGGAGACTCCTTATATCTGTATTTTATAAGGCATTCTCAATAAAAAATACCCTTGAAAATGTATCCTGAAATAAAATCAGCATGAGTATTTGCTTCTGTGACATGCAGAATAGCAAGCACCCTAAAAAGGAAATGTCTCCTAACATGTTGCTTATCATTCTTATTGGATTGAGAAATAGATTAAGATATATTTAACAAAAATGATCATTACATAGTTGTGTGGAGAATATGTGGAAATTATTACAGAAATAAGTTAAAGGGTATCTGCGTTTTCAAAAAATTTACAAACTAGTAGAGGATGAAAAGCACATACAAGAATAATTTTAGAATAAAGTAGAATGTATTATAGGAAGGCTTTCTTCATAGCTAAATAGTTTCCAGAAATTACTGTTGAGAAACTTTATATAATCTTTGAGGTTTTAAACATTTAAATGTTTAAGTAAATGAATATGCTCTTTTTTATGTGTGTTGGGCACTAGACTCAATAGATATTATTAATTGGGTAAATAAGCTCTTGAAAAAAAAGAAATAGAAATAGACCATTTGAATTTAGAGGAAATTTTCCAATAGAGATCCTTCAAATAAATCTAATAGATAAATGAAAAGAAGACAATGAAAAAAACATAGGCATTTTAGGTTAGGGGAAGAAATAAATGGAGCATATCTACAGAATTCCCAGAAATCTACTTTTGTAATTGGAGAATTAGAAAGAGGTCAGCTGTTGGTCAATTTCCTCACTATTTTCCTCAATCGCAGGAATTTGATTTCAGTTCTTTGTGAATGAAATTGCTTATCCCATGGCCTGGTATGAAATATGCTTTTATTAGTTGAACTATGGTATTCTTTGTATAAGAGAATGCTGTAGTTCAGTATTGAGCTTTAAAATGCTTAACTGTGTTTGTGTGCATTGGAGGGTGTGGTGCTTCTGGAGGTACCTAGAGAGCTTGATGGGCACCAGAAAAATCTGGGGTGAGGGAGGCTTTATGGAATGAACTGTGTAATACTGAAGAAGTTGAGACTATGTGGCAGTAGATGTCACAATTCAGCACCAGAGCAAACTGAACAGAAAATGAGAGGAAAGGAAAATTGAATGTAAATCACAAACCTGTGTCTCTACACCTCTTACTTAATTTTTCCTCTTGAGCATCGGGAGAAATGTTGGCAGCTTTAATTGTGACCAAAAAGGCAAGAAGAAAACATTTGCTCTGACTTCAATTTTCTCTTTTGCAGCATTTTAATGATTCTCTAGGAAATACATTTTTCCACTTACTAGCCTTGCAAATCCGTAGATCACTATTCATGAATTACTGATCTTCTCTCTTTAGGATAGTCTGGTACATGTGCTCAGAGCTAGGGAACTTTATTATTTCTTGATCCATGGTGAACCTTTGACATTCCAGAGCTCCCGTTCACTTTATATGTGTTTAAATTGAGAGGTGATTGAGGTAAAGCTGGTGAAGTCAAATGTGAAAGACTTAAAATCAGTTATATTCAAACATACCTTATGCTCAGTCTTCCATCTTCTTGCATGTAATATTATTAATATACTCACCTTAACACCAGTAAAACTTTCTATAAAATATATACCCAAATATATTTGAAGGCTAAGCACATTTAATTTTTAAATTATGAAATTTTAAAAATAATTGTACAGAGTTGCTGTATATCTTTCACTCAGTTCCCCTAATGTTAATATCTCATAAAACTATGATACACTTAATTTTATAAAAAGCCGAACATTTTGTTATTTTTGAAAAATGAAATTTTTAACTGTTGACAACAGTTTAACAATTACCTAATTTTCACAATTTTGCATCTGTGCATCCTGATGATGCCTCATATCTATACACATAATAAATAAAATGTTTTTCCAAATACACAAGTGAGAACATTTTGATAACTATGAGATAGACAGTCTTAATTCAGGGTGACATTGTAGTTGGCATATTCTCTCTTCAGATCTACTGGAGAATTATTTATTTATTTTGTTAGTAAAATTGTAAATAGTTTCACCAAAAAAGTCAAATTTAAATTTCTCTTGTTTAAACCTTTAAATTTTATTGCCAATAACTTATTTTGAAAACATGAAGAAAATATAATTAAATAAAATAAATTACAGATCTTCAAAAAAACTGTCAAATTAGTCAAGACTGTGTTCTTGCCAACTGAAAAACAAATAGTCTTTGGTACTCTAGCCATTATGCAAACCTGTCACAATTTTTTTAAATGAATGGTTAGAAATGTATTATTTATTCTGTGAAAATAATGCATACATTTCAGCCATTTCAGTTACCATAACAACAGAGTATAGTGCATTTTCCTTGATTTTACTTTCAATTATATTCATTTGTATTTGACTGTCACAACCAATAATAAGAGATAGACAGAAAGAGGATATTAATACAGCATTTATATTTCCACTCAAAGATAAAGAACTAGGTTCACATCCACTCTTACTTTTTAATATTGTTTACATAGACATGAGAAATACCATACAATACTTCAACATTGAAAAATATTCTCAGATAATACCCAGATTGAGTAGAGAAAAGCTTATTTTAGCATCTTTTGCATCTTGGCATAACATGAGATTAAGTTTTAGCAGAAGTGTCACAGGCCAATTTTCAGAACCTTCCTCAAAAGACAGCTGGTCTTCTTGCAGACCCTTTTTGCCTCTTCTTCTTCTCCTTGTATTTCTCCATTTAACTGTTGGAAATGCAGATGTGATAGAAAGAGCTTTTACTGCTATTTTGGACCCTGACAACATGGGACATATGTTAGCGATGTCACAGCAGAGGGTTGGTGTAGCTTGAATCGTTGAGAACTTTCTGGAACAGAGTTTCCATACCACTCTTGACTGTTTCAGAATGTTTCCAGGAGAGAGATCATTTCTATTTTTCTAAAGCCATTGTTATCTGGCATCCATTCTGCTATTTTCAGCTTAAAGTAATCTTAACATGTCTCATCTCTGTGAAGAGGGGAATATGAAAAAGAGCACTCACTAAATATCTCAATTTTTCAAAAGAAAATGATCTTTTCTTATTCATTACATGCATATCTGGCACCTGTGACCCTTTGACTTGCTACTTGTGCTACAGCTATTTCTCCCTTGGTAAACTCTAGACTGTCAATGGGAAGCCAATGACTACAACAATGTCCTAAAGCCACCCTTACCTGGTTCCTAAGCAGAGCTCTCAATCAAATTTAGATATTCCTTCAGGGTTTGCTTGTTCATTGATTTGTTGGGATTTTTTTGGTTTGTTTTTGAGAACATCAAGACATTCCAAGGTAATTAATAAAGCCCTAGATCTTTTCACAATCAGGAGTGGGGAGTGACTATAAAAGGCTTTTGTTTTCAGTCTTAGGAAAATAGGTAAAAATAGTTAAATCATATTCTCAATGTTACTAAATTAGTAAATATATAATATGCTTCCTACACTCAAAATAATTGAGCCATCCATTTGCAAATTAAATAGCAAATAGTGAACATATAAACTGAAGTAGTAGTCTCTTCTAATCTACCAATGAAGATAAATTTTGAAAGAGAAAAGGTTTTAATGACAATTAAAACACTTTAGTTATAATCAAAATCCACTTTTCCAAGCACAGTGAATTTTTAAAAATAAATGAAATAATGCAAAAGGATTCATTACTTACATTTTGATAAGTGATAGAAACAAAGTTAGGTGATAAGTTATCCTTGAATGATACAGAAAATATTGAAGATTTCAAAAAGCATTTTAAAGAAAAAGGATAGACATAAACAAGAGAAATGTACTAATGATAAAACAAGACTATCTGAGGCTAAATTTCTAGAATGGTGTTCTAAGGGAAAAGAACATTTAGCACAACACAATGGTATACCACTAGAATTGCTGAAAGTGGGACTGCAGTAACAGATCACATAAACAGATAAATAGATGCTGTTGATAACACTATCCTAGCACTATCTGGCAGAATGGATCAAAACAAGAAGATATCTGTAATGGTTTGTATCTAAATTCCACCCCCCAAAAAACCTCATGCACTTATAGGTGGGGATTTTCAGAGGTGGCTGGATCTAGAGTGTGTGATTACTAAATTAGTCCACTGACTGGTTTAACATAGTTCTGGGTATGGGCAATGGGAAGGCCCAATCTGTATGTGGTTGGCACCAGCAATAGATTCATAGCCTAAAGGGAAAAATGGAAAGCTGCTTCATTACCTCCTGCCTTCCCTGCCACAGACTGTTTCTCCCCTCCATATCCCCTTATTATGCTGCCCTGCCTTGGTGCCAGCCAGCTATGGACTGACACCTCTACAGAGTGTGACCTAAAATAAACTTTTCTTCTTTAACTTGTGGATACTGGACATTCTGTTGTCGTAACAAGGAAGTAACTAAGACAACATCAAAAACTGGTGACTCTAACATTTCTACCAAAGGAGTCATGTACATGCCAAAATTCTACAGTAGGTGATCTGCTCTTTCTACATCAGACTGGTTATCTACCTTCTGTGAGAACTGAATTATTGTTTTGTCTTTCTTGTTTCTCTTCACTTTTCTGTGTGTTCTACAAGCTACATGGTTCTTGAGGGAAAGAAGATAGTTGAAATTTTGATTATTTTTATTTTATTTTACCTTTCAAAGTCTATGTAGCTGTCAGGGATGGTCTTCCCAATGGGTCCTTGGTTCTAGTTTAGTTATCCTCTTCCCTCACAGACCATCCTGATCTCTACTGTTGCTCAGGGGACACTATCCTAGTTTAAAAGTGTAGCATCCCATTTCTATCATTGTCCATCAGTGAGATAAAAATGCTTAATTTTATTTGTTTTGATGTCAATGCTTTTAAAATTCAATCTAGCAACTTTCCAAGAATTTTCATATTAATTCTGAACAAATAATATTTTTTCACAATATTGCAATGTCAGAAAGACTGTAATACTTGAATTAAATCAAACTGTTTCTGAAGCTAAAAGTTATTATAATTTCTGTAAAAGAAGGAAAATAAAAAATGTAAAGTGAATCTGAAATTTATGGTGCCATCTGTTGTTTAGAAACAAAATTACATGTGCTTCAAAGGTATAATTTTTCTGACAGCTTTCAAGAAAAAATATCAAAAGGTATTTTTGTTTATATTCTCAATATATTAAGAAGTTAAAGCCATAGTGTTTCACTCGAAGTATTTCTGAATGCAAGTGTATGTGTGTGTCACTTCTTTTATTCTGTATAATATGAGATAGTAATAAATTATTATAAATATTACATAAGCATGCATAATAGTCAGCAACTATTAAAAATATACCTAGCTTGGAGAGGTTGTTTTATTTTTTTTTGAAGCCGAGTCTTACTATGTAGTTCAAGCTGGTCTTGAACTCACTAAGTAACCTACTCTGGCCTAAAATTCCAGGTGTCCTCCTGCTCAGCCTCCCTAATGTTGGGATCACAGATGTGCACCACCATGCCTGGTTTCAGGTTATGTTTAAATACTGAAATGTAAATTAGATTCTCTGTTCAGTTATTCTAAGAGTGCTCAGAAAAGATAAAAGATGAAAAAGCAGTCTTTTAGAATTGAATTCGCTGTATAGTTATTCTGCTCTTAAAAGGTAAAAACTGGAATATTCATCAAGAAGAAATACATTAATCTTCCTGAAATTATTTGTAGCTTCCATAAGAAAATATTTCAGACATTTTTTCCTCTCTTATCTCTAAGGGAATAATTAGTAATAAATGTGCAGCAATGAACTGATTTTGGAGTGTTTTAAGAATAACTTGGTAAATCATTATAAGTATCCAAATGTTTAAGCAAATCCTCAATCTTACATCTCTTAAGCAGATATAAATCCCAAAGGAAATTGAATTAGTACTCTTTCATTTCTTTCCAAGTTAAAATTACAGGGGCTACATTTGTTCTCATTTTAGTTACATTTATGTAACTAAAAAGCCAGAAAATAGAGCAAGCATTGGCTTTCTGGGCATTGGACATAGGCAGCTGTGATTCCTGACACAGACTATGAATGTAGGGCGTGCTGTGATGCCCCACTTACGCCCTGGAGGAAGTTCCAGGCCACAGCACAAGGAGAGGCATGTAGAAAGGGATGGGGGTTTTCCTCAAGTTAAGGGGATAAAACTGGAATTCTGGGGAAGCCAAAGAGGCTAAAATCAGCAGGGTGGACTACTAGGAAGAAGAAAGCTGTATACAGAGAAAACTCTAGAGATCTGTATATGGCTATTCTCTACATATTTAGTTGACTAGTGCCAAACATACATATGAGGAAGGAGTTTAAAGGCAGGGAAATAGTCACATCAAAGATTTAGAGAAAAAAAGTTCCTAAGGTCACATAGGGCCAAGAATAGTGCCTACTTCTAGGACCCAAAGGAAAAGTACATATTTCACAAGGCATTAGAATAATAAGAATTGTTTTTGCCTCACTAAGAAAAATTAACCCTTAACTAAATATGTTGTTCTATTTATGCCTAAAAAATAATGAAAGCAAGAACCGAAAGGAACAAACTATTTCGACATTACTTAAC